CTCCGTTAACTATGTGGACTATCGCAATATATCGCAATATACATCATATCGCAATGTATCGTGATATAATCGTATCATGATGCGTATCGTATCGCTAAGTCCTTGACAATACCCAACCCTAATGATTTGCTTGTTTAGTCCCCAGGCCAGCAGGATATACCTGAGCAGAGTACTGCATGTGTATAACTGGTGGAGTCAAGATCAAATGAAAATTTTAAACTTTTTAGCCCTTTAAGATTGAGGTGGGATGAGGGGGATGCCATGCTCCTTGTTAACCTGCCAACATGTAGGATACAAGAGCGAGAGGATCATAAAGACACTGCTGCCTGTAGTATTTACATAATATTCCGATAATGTTTCTATGATCATTCAGTAGCATCTGTGCCCTACACCCTAACCCTTCTATTGGGCCTGTTAAAAATCAACAAATGAAATCAATTTTTTAATTATTTTTTCTTCCTTTAAAACAAAATGTGATGCATACTTCCGTAGACGTGAAGCAACCAATTTCAGCCAATGATATCATGACATCCACCCATCAATCAGTCAGAGAAACTACATTTTCAGAGTAGCTTCCTAAAGCTTCTAGCCATCATCAATCGTCAAATCGTCACAACAATGTCTTAACACAATACTTTCTGTTGATCTCCTGATCCTCTAAATTTTCAGAAGGAAAACCAAAGTCAACATGCTGTCTGTTGTGTACTATCACAATCTTGTATGCTTGGTCCACATGCATGCTCATTTTGTACTGAAGCTGCACACTTCTATGTTGCTGTCGGTATGAAAGAGAACATCTTGACTTAATTACATCAAAAAGTAGTATTCAGTGTAAAGGAGACTGCTATCAAAGATAAACTCTCAGGGCAGCAGAGGAGATAGAAGCAAACTTATGCTGCTAAATCTGGTTAAATGTGATATTGCTGCTTTGAGACTTGGTGCTGTGTGTCGTGCCAAGGTGCCTGGGATGAGCTCAGTTATTCACATTGATTTCAGCTGTGTGTGTAAGTGTGTGTGTGTGTTTTAGACAGGCAGGCAGCTGAAACAGACACAAAGGCAAACAGACAGTCCTACATGTAGTCAGATGAGGGTCAGTGTGTGTGTAAACTTCAGACCAGCTCCTGCAGCAGTAATCACTGCACTTAACATTCAAGGTGCACTGCACCCCTGTCAGTCGCATTTTATAAGATCATTCCGCAATCAGCTTGTAATTGGCAGAGCTAATGAAAGAGCAGTGAAACATAACATAAGCATCATTTAGTCAGGAGCCGGGGAGTTATTATGGTGAGGTAAGGAGGTCTCCACAGTCCATGTTAAATCTAATCCTGTTATTTTGTGATTATAATGAAAAACAAAGATCAGGCAAAAACTGCAGGGAGCATTCAAGAGCTTTACTCCCTGAGGTGACAGCTTGGTAAATAATAACTCATCAGACTGATCAAATAAAAAATAGTCCTGTTGGATTGCTCCACTTTGAAGAGATACAGATACACAGTTGATCTTTTTGCCCCAGCTATGACACAACAAGTCAGTCTCTTTAGCATTTTGAATGTGATCTTGTCATTTTGAGCATTATATCATGAAGTAAGCCCTGGCAAAATGATATTATATATTTTTTATATTACCAGTGGATCGAGTGACGATGTCAACTCATCACAAACATGACTCTAAATAAATGCTAATGTTTGTCTGTGTCTGCTGGATAGGGCTGCAACTAACAATTATTTTCATTGTCCACTCATCTGTCGATCATTTTCTCCATTAATTGATCATCTGGTCCATAAAATGTCAGAAAATGGTGAGAAATGTTGATCATTGTCCAAGGCAGTTGTCCTCAAATGTCTTTGTTTGTCCATGACTCAAGATACTCAGATATCCAGTTTACTGTCATAGAGGACTAAAGAAAGCCGAAGATGTTCACAGAAGATGAAATCAGAGAATTGTGAGATTTTTTTGGCTAAAAATTAGTCAAACGATGAATCAATTATAGTTGCAGCTCTACATGTGTAGGTTACTGTTTTCCCACACATGCACCACATCAACGTAAAGTGATAGCCAAGTGTGAAGCTATTGTGACGTCACCCATTAGTTTGTGGAGTACCGTTTTGAAGAATCATGACCCATATTTGATCAGCTCTGCCTAGTTTGACAGTTTGATCTGCGTTTGGTGCGTTGAGCTGGATGGACTCACTGAGAGTCAATCACAAGGTAGCCCTAAAGTGTACCCTCGGACAATCATTTACTAAAACTGTTTATCAAGCCAAAAAATCTAATCAGAAGCAGGCTCATTTCAACATAAGACTCCAAATTATTTTTGCAGCCTATGGAGCTGCCCCCTGCTGGCCATAAGAAAGAGTTTGAAAGAGTGTTTAAAACATTTCCAGGTTGGCTTTACTTCACAGAGTGGAAGCTCTGTCCATTACTTATATACTGTCAATGGTGATAACATATTAACGTTGTGTTTGTTACACTGCCCCCAAGTGGCTAAAATAATGCCACAATACAAAGAAAACATCCTAACAGGAATCAATATTCCCTCTGACACAGCAGCCAACAACTCTTCAGGTTGATCATATTTATCTTTCTTGGCACCACTTTGAAGAAATGGAGTCAGCGCAGGCAAACAGGTCGGTTTCACATTTGATCATGTTTACTGAGCAGTGGCAACAGTCTCTAAATGCCATGTGAAATTTGATGTTTTCATTCTTGACATGATATCATGAAGCAGAGATCAAAGCAAAGTCAGCAGTAATCTGCATGTAGGCTGTATCCTGACAAGATTACTCGGGACAACGTTCCCTCAAAGATGACAGCTAATAATTATTTGTATTGACCATAAGTCTTTTCACAGCAGTGCATTTTGAGGAGATGGAGTCAATACAGATAAACAGGTGGCTTTCACATTCTTTTCTGTGCAGAGTCATGGAAAAGCAGTCTGTCTATGTCATACTAAATTTGATCTTGTAATTTCTGATGTGTCATGGAGCAAAGATGAGGCCAAAGTCAGTAGCAATCTTTCATTTTTAAGTAAGATGCTATCTTATTGAAATAAAAAACAATATAATTGATTGGCTAGGATTATATTTTGTCTGAAATAACAACTAATAATTAATCAGATTAAAGCTGCAGTAGGTAACCTTTATAAAAAATAACTTGTGATTTTGCTGAAACTTTCTCTATATCCTGACAGTAGTACATGCGACAGATAATCTGTGAAAAAATCTGGTTCCTCTGGCTTCTCCTGGTGCTCCTAATGGGATATGTAAGAATCCACTAAAACCGAACACAAACAACCAATCAGAGCTGAGAAAAATAGAAAGACTGTTTGCATTGGGCACTAGGAGGAGCCAGAGGAACCTGCTTTTTTCACAGATTATCTGTCTCATGTACTACTGTCAGGATATAGTGAAAGTTTCAGCAAGTAAGACAAAAAGTTCTAAATTTGGTCAATTCTTGAAACAATGACCAAACACAAGTTAGCAGTAATCTATAAGAAGATGCTCAAAACATTATTATTGATTACTATAACATATACTATTTAGTCTGAAATGGCATAATTAATCAGATTAAACAGGCATGTTTCACATAAGGTATGCTGTATATGACATTTAAATTTGGTTTTGTCCTTTCTGCATTAGGCTCTGTTGAATCATTCAAAATAATATTTAGGCTGAAATGATTTATTCCTCAGATTGGCCATTAGTCGTCTCACAGTTGTGCATTTTGAGGAGATGGAGTACAGACAAACAGGTGGCTATCACATTTGATCCTGTGCTGTGTGATCCTGAGTCATAGGAAAGCCATTCTGGGTTGGATCCTGTCATTTCTGGCATTATATCATTTGCATATTTGAAGAAAGAGCAGGCCAAATTCACCAGTAACTATTAATAATAATTAATCAGATTAAACAGATTCATACATGAGGTATAGGCACATTTTAAATATATAAATTCATTTCTGCATTAGGCTCTATTGGGGAGCAAAGATCAAACAAAAGTAAACAGTACTCTATAAGAATATGCTATCTTAACAATACCATTAATTACTCAGGATAATATTTAGTGTGAAATAATAGCTCATAATTAATCAGATTAAACTGTTAAATTTCACATATGATCAGGGTTTGGAGGGTTACTTTAAAAATGTTATCTGATACAATTACTAATTACATGTAGTCAGTAACCTATCCAAGTATTACAATATTGAAGTAACTTGATTACTTTCAGTTACTTTTGGATTACCTCAACCACAATTATGTAAAAAACAAAAAAAACAAGAGAAAAGAAATGTAAATAAGAAGTACTGATGCAGGTGTGTTCTATAAGACAACAGAACAATGTAACCTTTGAAAAGAAAATGGAAATGGAAAAAAATGGAAAGATCTTTAGCATTAAATTGTGTCCTCAGAATCCTGCTAATAATCCACATTTTACTAAATGAAACTAATCTGATTATGTCTTCTTTTTGCAATGATTACAGTTACCTGTTTTTGTATCCCGATTACATAACTCAGTTACATGTAATCTGTTACTCCCCAAGCCTGCATATGATATATGAGGTATATGACATTTTTGTCAGTTTCTGCATTAGGCTCTACTGGGGAGCAAAGATCAAGGAAAAGTCAGCAGCAATGTGCTTTTTCCTGCACACTAATCTACAGCAGTGACCAACAAATAGTCTCATTATCTTTATTCTGTCAAGAATTTAAATGGTCTCATCAAACGTTCCCAGAGCCCAATGTGAGACCTGCAAATGTCTTATGTCCAACCAGAGGTTTTCAGTTTACAGTGACAGCAGCAAACCCTCACATTGGACTCTGCAGCCAGAGAATACTGGCTGGCTGGTCAAATAATTCATCATTAATCAGCTAATGTTTGAATGCCACAGCAATCCTCAGCTATAGAACAGTCCAGAGATGAAGCAGAAAGGATGTTTGAGTGATGTACAGTGCCCCCCCCAAACCCGCGGGTCTGACGGCTGAAGTTGAAGAGTGCACTCACCAGCAGCGTGGGCAGCCCGGCCACCACGGCGTACAGCAGGACGGGCGGGACGGCGCTGCTGTCCTCCGGTCCCAGGTAGGGCTTGGTGTACGTGGTGTCGTAGCAGAAAAAGCCCTGCACGTGCACGCTGAAGGTGTCGGTGTACTCGAAGTAGTAGGCCAGCATGACGGTCCCGGCCATGATCACCAGCTGGAAGTACAGCATGATGCAAACGGAGAGCGAGAGACATTTAATTAGAACAAAGCCCTTTCTCTCTCTCTCTCTCTCTCTATCTCTCCTACCCAGCCTCCTCCTCCCCCCCGGCGGCACCGACTCCCGCTGACCGGCTCATGACGGCTCGGGCTGCGCGATGAGCCGCTCTCTGATTGTGGCGGAGGCTCGACCGCCCTGGCTTCCTCTGCTCGCTGCTGCTGCGACTACAGACTGTGCGTGTGTGTGTGTGTGTGTGTGTGTGTGTGTGTGTGTGAGTGAGTGAGAGAGAGAGAGAGAGAGAGAGAGAGAGAGAGAGGGGGGGGTGCAGTGGGTGTGAGAGGATGTGTAAAGCGTGTAAGAGATGAGGAGGCTTGGCTAACCACCCTTTCCGTGTGTGTGAGTGTGTGTGTGTGTGTGTGTGTGAGTGAGAAGAGAGAGAGAGAGAGAGAGAGAGAGAGAGAGAGAGAGAGAGAGAGAGAGATTAGATGTACATGTGAGCAAATAGGAGGTTTGACAGCTCCTTCCCTGTGTGTGTGTAAACAGGGACACAGAACCATGGCATGCATTGCCATGTTTAACCAAGTCAGGAGAGAAACAGAAGGGGCGAATTAAAGGATGAAAGAGAAAGAATGAGAGGGAGAGAGCTAATAGACGTCATATGTGTCTCGACCACTGGCAGAGGCTCCACATTCAGCCCATATTTCATCAGAGAGAGTTGCATACAGTACTGTTGCTAATATCATCTCCTCGCTCCATGCAAAAACACATGCCAACATGTAGCTGCAGTCAATATGTGTATAAATCAAGTGGGTATCCTCTTTTTGAACCACTGTCCCTCCACACATAGATGGGGACTCTGTGCTAAAAAGAATAACTTTAGAATATATTCACTTAATTTGATCAACTGCTAAAGCCTCATATTAGCTGGGGATAAATCCTGAAACACAGTTTTGCATGGAGTGAGGGCTGTGGATTTTCTCCCTGTCACTTACATGGGAAGTGAATGAAGAGGCCAACAGCAGGTAAAATCTGTTAAGGGACATTTGAATATTGTATTAAAGAGCCAAAATGTGTAAAAGTTTGTAGTATATAGGGCTGCACGATATGGCAAAAACATCAACTTGTGAATACAATAACTGCACGAAGTTTGAGTAAAACCAGCAATTTGGAGTTTTGAGCAGATATATTTCCTGTGAACATCAATCAATCAATCAGAGATTATATTTTAGGAACGTTTTATACAATTCTAATCTAATATGTATTTATTTATTTTTTTGACATTTTTGAGAAATTCAGTGTTTTCTTCTCACTGATCTATTATCTCTTTGGTTTTTTGAACTTTTCTAATTTTGATCAGAGTGAAGGCTCTGTGAATATATATATATATATATATATATATATATATATATATAAGCTTGGGTTCATGTCTTTGAAGTTCAGTTCTTAAATAATGATCTAAACTTTAAGTATAACAATTCCATTTCATTTTCTTCACAGAAATGAACAAAATGTGGGGATATAGGCCTATTGTGTATATTTTTAAGGTAAATCAAGAAGGCCTTGTGAGCTTTGGCAACTCCCAGGTTGAGATGTCAATTGCCAACCCCAGTTTATTGCTACATTATCTATATGAAAAGCCACTTATACTGAATCAATCATTCTGAATGCAATACTGTAGAAGGCCTAGAGAGTTTCAAACAAGCACAACGAGAGATCCTTGCACACTGCACCTGCAATTTATAGTTCCACCCTCATTCAATACCACATACACTCCATTTCTATGTTCACTTTTAGCCACACTTTCAAAAGCTACTTTTTTGTCTGTGTGTTCTTTCATAATTCAGTGATAACTCTTTATACATTTCCACTTCCTGCCATGCTCGTGGTATGTTAAATACCCACTGCTGGCTCTGTAGTTATTTATATTTCCTTTTTTTTTCATTTATCTTCCTCCTATTGCTGCAGCGACCCCATTTCCCCACTAAAACCTCATCTTATTTCATACCCCACACTCTCTCTGTGTCTTTCTCTGATGCCGGAAACACATTTATCTGGAGCACTGACACACTGAAATCCATAAGTGAAGGCTGTCAGAGCAGACAGAGGGACGGATGGAGGCAGATAGGCAGACAGAGATGGAGATGGAGATGCAGGGGGTTGTGTGGAGTCAGGTGGGTACACGCTGACAGCTCTGAGTAATGGCTGCCATTACTGTGTCACTCTGTCATCACTCCCCATTTTAATACTAACTAGGCCAAATCTATATTCTGCTGGCTTCATGCTCAAACACACCAGAGAGATATCTAATGATGCATTTTTCCTACACAATAATACCACCAGAGAGTGGTTAATTGCAGTATGCATACATTATATATCCGCTGTTATCACTTTCCAGGATGTTTTTAATGATTTAGGGAACGATCTGTTCCTTTATGTGGTTTTGGGAAGCATTCAAGAGGAACCAGGACAAATAGAACAGTTTGATAAGGAATATATTTATTTATACAAATCAGTGAATTATTGCAGTTTTAATATGATCATTACTGAAATAACTGAGAAAGGATACAAGAATTTTAAAGGACGCTGAGAGTCTGCAGCCATGCTAGCAGCTCTGTGAGGCTGTACTTAGGCTAGGGGTGGGCAAGAGGAAAACTTTAGATCGAGATTGAAATATGACACTGATTCCTTGAGACCGGATTGCGACCCACAAGATTTTATATGTGTCACAAATAAATTTGCCCAATTTCTGCTAAATGCAGTTATTATTTTCTCATTTATAAAGCAGAGAAACGAGATTCTTTACCCCTGCTAAATGCATTTAAGTGGTCTTGTTTATAAAGTGATCATACATTCTGTAAGAAGGCGATGGGCTCTCCAAATTACCGCTACTGTCAGGACAATGAAAGCCAACTGCATTTAAAATATGTACATTGCTTTACTGATGAGGTAAAAAATGAGAGTCTTATGCATATATTTTGTAAGTGAGCGCACATTCTGTTGGTTTTACTGAGAGAAAAAACTCAATGCCTTAATTTTATTTCATTTATAAAGTATTTAAAATGTTTTTTGTTTTACTGATGATGAACTTGTCATCCATCAAATATATATTTCTTAAAAATGGCTGCTTTCCTGAAAATATGAAGTGGTGTAGAAATAGCAGTTAAAATGGTCAGGAACATTTATTTATGCCCAAATTTCCTCTTCTCACTGTGAACTGGGTCATTTTTAAAAAGTGGGTCCCCAGAAAAAACGTTTGGGAAACAGTGAGCAATCTATTTTTCAGACGAATCAGAGATATGTCCTCTTACTTTTATTTCCAAACATCAGGGCTTGTAACAGCACATTATGTAATGACTGGATAAAATGTACTAAATTGTTCTTTCATTATGTAATAACACTAGTATTCTGTAACAATCTGCCGCATTTTGTAACATTCATGTAGATTATTACATACAGTGGTGGCTGTTACAAATGTGGGAGTTGCACTTTTTAATGAACTGAAGCTTTTTGATGTTTTTTTTGGGAGCCCTTTCTAAAGAGCATTGCAGTAGTTGACCCTGCTAGAAATAAAACCTAAAATGAGTTTTTCCAGGTTTGCATTTTGACATGAATTCCCTGAGTTTGTTATTTAGACAATATCAGAGTCAACTATATCACCAAAGGAGCACCACAGATCATAGGAGTCTCATTTAATATGTGGAAGTTTAATTTCGTTTTAGAAAGTTTTAGTTTTTAGAAGTTACATCTTGTCCGCTGTGCTTGCATGGGTGTACCGTAATTTCCGGACAATTGAGCGCACCTGAATATAAGCAGCACCAACTAAATTTAAAAAGAAAAAAAAATTGTACATATATAGGCCGCACTTGTCTATAAGCCGCAGGTGTCCACGTTGTAACATGAGATATTCACACAGAAAGATTTTTTAAATTTTTAATTAAATAAATGCTGCCGTCTCCAACGTCTCACCATCGATTCATTGATGCCAAGCTCACGAGCAGCAGCTCTTCTTCGACAGCCAGATCGATTGCCTTTAACTTAAAAGCTGCATCATGTGCATTTCTTCTTGTGTTTTCCATGATGAGGGTGTGTGCATGATGCACAAAATGACTGAATTAATTGAATGAATTCAAAACACAATCAAACTGGCGTCGGCGCATTATGTCTTCCACCTGTCTGTCTCGCTCTTGCGCTTCCTGCTAGAGCGCCCCCTGGAGGACGTTAGCCCATAAAAATCTATAGATTAGCCGCATCATTGTTTAAGCCGCAGGGTTCAAAGCCTGTGGAAAAAGTAACGGCTTATAGTCCGGAAATTACGGTAGCTCAGCCCAAACAGACACATAGCCCTTCCTACAGCCCGTAACAGAGAGCTGAGGAGAGACTGTAATGTAACATGGTCGCTACATTTTTATAGAGTTCTGACCTTAAACCCTGCTTGCTGCTGGATAAATAGATATGCACAAAGAAAAAAGAAAGCTGCACAGATACTGCAATACGTGAACATATTGCAGATAAACAAGCCGCTGTTTCCTGCTACAGCGAGTCAAAACTGTCCAGCCAATCAGAGCAGCTCATGGTACGTCACTGACGCTGGCTCCAAATAACCAACATGGAGACAACCATAATGCTTCAAAACAGTACTCCACAAACCCATATGCAATACAAGAACGTATGACCAGGTGAGCCACTATTGTTTCCTGCTATTGCTCGGGGCTTAAGACAGTACTCCACAAACCAATGAGTGACATCAGGATAGGTTAACACTTGGACCTAACTTAGGTAACTCGACTAAATGCTAATATTAACATGCTAATGATGTGGGAATAATGTTTACCATGTTTACCATTTTCACCTTTAGTGTGTTCCAACATTTGCTGATTAACAGTGACACTGATGGGAATGTCTTCAGTTCTACAGGTATTTACAGCAGTTATCATCCAAGGTAATAAAGTTCAGCTGCAGTGGTTTCAGGGACCCCGGCCAAAGAGACATTTGCAGCC